ATACAAAGAGTTTACACAGCTGTGTTTTTATCAAACTGTCAATCAACCTCTTTCCCTTCCTCTGCCCTCCACTGGGGATGAGCATCATTTTAGCTAAACTCAACGTCAGTCTGCTTCTTCATTACTTTTACTTGTCCTTACTCAAATTATTCTCCTCAAATGCCAACTGGTCCTTACCATTAGACTGTGCAAACCCAAAATCATATATCCCTCAAAGCTTATTATCTATATGGTCATGCCATTATTGTTTGATTGCCTTCATGAACATGACTTCCACTGTCTTCATCAACACAACTTTATTATTCTAGGAAGCTCTAGACCAGAGAGATAGAAGTTTATTATTTATTCTCAACATTTTTTGAAACTCTCACCTCAAAACACCCATCTTGCTATGTCCCCCAGTCCCAAACCATTATATCATAATCATTACCCAATTCTAATCAAGCCCTTGTATTGAAAGACTCATCTTAATCCAAATCCAAAAATTTCATAAATAGTCCAACATTATCCTTCCTGCTCCAAGATGCTCTTAAATCTTTGTCAAGGAAGAAAGCTCCCTTACCATGGTAAGCAACAAACTCAGTTTTGCCTTAGCAACAGGTTATTTTGGTGGTATTTGTAGGGAGCCAGCATTCAGCAATTGCAAACCTTCTTGGATGGATGTCCTCTTTCTTAGTCTGATGATTATAGTATATAAGAGGGGTGTGTGCGTGTGTGTGTGTGTGTGTGTGTGTGTGTGTGTGTGTATAATTTGATCCATAGAAAGAAAGGTTTTTATATCTACTGTTAATGTGGCTGCTGCCTTTTACTGTTTCCTCTGTCATTACGCTCATATCTTACCCTATTGGACTTCCCTTGAGCTTTCTTCTAAATGCTGTGCTCTCCATGCACTTTCGTTTAGTTCTTCTGGTATGCAGTGAAATATCTCAGACATTCCATATATCTAAAAGACTACAATCAGGAGCCTGTGGCCACTAGGCAACAATTCACTGAAGATTATCATAATCCTCCAAAGGTTCCTTCTCCTTATTCGCATATCTCCCCCTGGTCACAGGAACTACCGGGCTCCTGGGTCTGCACCTATTTGGAGCCAACCTCGCCAGCCCAGTAAGGTTAGCGTTGGCTCCACATGAATTGTTACATCTCTACAGACATGGTTACTCAGACAGCTTCATAGTCCCTGAGGTCAAAGAAGACCGTTTTCCATGAAGAACAGTGTTTCATTTTTTTTTATTTATTTTTTTTTTATTTATATATGAAATTTATTGTCAAATTGGTTTCCATACAACACCCAGTGCTCATCCCAAAAGGTGCCCTCCTCAATACCCATCACCCACCCTCTCCTCCCTCCCACCCCCCATCAACCCTCAGTTTGCTCTCAGTTCTCAACAGTCTCTTATGCTTTGGCTCTCTCCCACTCTAACCTCTTTTTTTTTTTTTTCCTTCCCCTCCCCCATGGGTTCCTGTTAAGTTTCTCAGGATCCACATAAGAGTGAAACCATATGGTATCTGTCTTTCTCTGTACGGCTTATTTCACTTAGCATCACACTCTCCAGTTCCATCCACGTTGCTACAAAAGGCCATATTTCATTTTTTCTCATTGCCACGTAGTATTCCATAGTGTATATAAACCACAATTTCTTTATCCATTCATCAGTTGATGGACATTTAGGCTCTTTCCATAATTTGGCTATTGTTGAGAGTGCTGCTATGAACATTGGGGTACAAGTGCCCCTATGCATCAGTACTCCTGTGTCCCTTGGATAAATTCCTAGCAGTGCTATTGCTGGGTCATAGGGTAGGTCTATTTTTAATTTTCTGAGGAACCTCCACACTGCTTTCCAGAGCGGTTGCACCAATTTGCATTCCCACCAACAGTGCAAGAGGGTTCCCGTTTCTCCACATCCTCTCCAGCATCTAGAGTCTCCTGATTTGTTCATTTTGGCCACTCTGACTGGCGTGAGGTGATACCTGAGTGTGGTTTTGATTTGTATTTCCCTGATAAGGAGCGACGTTGAACATCTTTTCATGTGCCTGTTGGCCATCCGGATGTCTTCTTTAGAGAAGTGTCTATTCATGTTTTCTGCCCATTTCTTCACTGGGTTATTTGCTTTTCGGGTGTGGAGTTTGGTGAGCTCTTTATAGATTTTGGATACTAGCCCTTTGTCCGATATGTCATTTGCAAATATCTTTTCCCATTCCGTTGGTTGCCTTTTCGTTTTGTTGGTTGTTTCCTTTGCTGTGCAGAAGCTTTTTATCTTCATAAGGTCCCAGTAATTCACTTTTGCTTTTAATTCCCTTGCCTTTGGGGATGTGTCGAGTAAGAGATTGCTACGGCTGAGGTCAGAGAGGTCTTTTCCTGCTTTCTCCTCTAGGGTTTTGATGGTTTCCTGTCTCACATTCAGGTCCTTGATCTATTTTGAGTTTATTTTTGTGAATGGTGTGAGAAAGTGGTCTAGTTTCAACCTTCTGCATGTTGCTGTCCAGTTCTCCCAGCACCATTTGTTAAAGAGACTGTCTTTTTTCCATTGGATGTTCTTTCCTGCTTTGTCAAAGATGAGTTGGCCATACGTTTGTGGGTCTCGTTCTGGGGTTTCTATTCTATTCCATTGGTCTATGTGTCTGTTTTTGTGCCAAGGAACAGTGTTTCAAAGCATTCTTTGAATGGCTGCTTTCTAACCTAAGGAATCTCAAACTGATGTTATTTTATTATAGATTCCTGTTCCGTACTTTTAAACTCCCCTCATCCTCATGCCCACCAATTCCCAATAAGTTTCTGGGTTTACAGATGTATCTAATGTTTGCAGTAGCAAAGACCAACACAGAAATGCCTTTAGCATTTTATGATCATTTTGATGTGAGGATTGTAAATTATAAAATTATCGCGGATCATTAAAGCCGTACTACAGTTTTCCTTTTGGAAACCCAGCAATGAAGCATTTAAAACAAAAGAACAATGTGATGATAAAGCAGAAACAAAGATTGGTATCATTGGTGGGCTAACTTTTCAAAATGGTAAAATATACTCATTTTTCAAAACGAGGCAATAAGTGGAAAGAATTAATGGCAATTTATACAATGAGCTTTCTTCTAGTCCTTTGTCTCATGCCTTTTTAAAAAACTTTTCCTTTCATCCTTTTTTTCTACTTTTTTTTAAAAGTTAGTGTTTCATATATTTTGAAGTGTTGTAATGAAGGAGAGGCCATGACAAAAATATTAAAAAAAAACACAGAATAATTATAAGATATGTATGGTACACAAAACACAAATTTTGTTAAGTGCTTAAGTTAAAAATACAGAAACTGAAGATCTAATTTTTTTGTTTAATCCAAAAGATTTTCCTACATTCCCTGGGATGAATGAGACTGAAATATAGAATTAGACCTTTGAAGGTTTCCCTTGCATCTTTAAGAAAAATTAGAAGAAATATGGGGTGCCTGGGTGGCTCAGTCATTAAGTGACCAACTTGGTTTTCGCTCAGGTCACCATCTCACAGTTCATGAGTTCGAGCCCTTTATCGGGCTCCGTGCTGACAGTGCAGAGCCTGCTTGCGATTCTCTTGTCTCTCTCTCTTTCTCTCTCTCTGCCCCTCCCAGCTCACTCTCTCTCTTTCTCAAAAATAGTTTTTTAAAACATAAAAATTAGAATAAATAGATGACCTGAGCCCTTGAAGTTTAATTGACTATTAGAAAACAATTCTAGTATAGTAAATCAGTGTATGCATGTTTGAATGGCTATATTTATGCTATCATCCCTTGCTGGAGTAGCAATTATGCATTTGTTTTTAGTATCTGATAAGTTAGGCCCAGGATTGAGTTTTCATAGTAAAATAATAACTCAAAGAAATGTATTTGTTGGTATGTATAATAGTCCCCCCCTCCTTAGCCATAGGGGATACATTCCAAGACCCCCAATGGATGCCTGAATATATACTCCATAGTATTGAGTATATATACAATATATGCTATGTTTTTTCCTGTACATACTTACCTATGATAAAGTTTAATTTATAAATTAAGCACAGTAGGAGATTAGCAACAATAATATAATTGAACGATTATAACATTATACTATAATAAAAGCTATGTGAATGTGGTTTCTCTCCCTCGAAATATCTTATTGTACCATACTCCCTCTTCTCCTGATGATGTGAGATGATAAAATGCCGGTGTGATGGGAGGGAGGGAGGAGAATGACATAATGTTAGGCTACTACTGACCTTCTGGTGATATGTCAGAAGGGCCATCATCTGCTTCTGGACCGTGGAAAGCAAAATTGCAGATAAGGGGAAACTAGGGTACAACTAGCCGATCATAAGTAGTTATTATTAATAATAATCATAAGTAGGCTTTACACAGATATGATAGATTTGTTAATAATATATTTTTTAGTCATTTATTTTGAGAGAGAGAGAGAGAGAGAGCGCGCACAAGCGAGGGAGGGGCAGAGAGAGAGAGAAAGAGAGAGACTCCCAAGCAGGCTCCCGGATGTCAGTGCAGAGCCCAATGAGGGGCTCGATCTCACAAACCATGAGATCATGACCTGAGGTGAAATCAAGTCAGCCGCTTAACCAACTGAGCCATCCAGGAGCCCTGTGACATGTATGATAGATTATTGTCATATCAACTAGATTATACGCTTCTTGGAGAGTACATCTCACAACCCTCTATTTTCCCAGTGTGATTAGCATCTTGTATATAGTAAGTGCTCATGAAGATGTTTAAATTTGAACTCTGCTTTTTAACAACATTATTATTTCTCTTCATGGTACTTGCTCAGTCACTTGGGCAACTAACCTTATCTCTGGTTTTGCGGCTGGTTTGTTGAGCCTGCTACCTGAGACTTGTCCCTCGGGTTTGTTGAGCCTGTCCCTGGCATGACAGTTTCCACCCACTCGTGTTTATTCTTTGTGGCTGGATCACAGCTGGCTTTGAATTAGAACATTAAATATACAGCGCCACAGTTTGGTCTCAGGCCCGGCCTCTGGTTTGTGGCACTAGGCCATTGGCCTCTGCCAGCCAGGCCCTGGCCCCGGTTTCCGCGATACAGGGAGTGCCCATCAGCTCGCGGTCACACCTGTTAGGTGTTTCTCCGCTCCTGCCTCCGCCCGAGCAAACGCCTCTTGCACCACTGGGGACCTGGGTGCAGAGCGCGGGGGAAGGGGGCGGAGAAGCAGGGCCCGGCCTTCTCCTCCTGCGGACCCCGCGGGATCTGCTCGGAGGGTGGAGCGGGGAGGGGGCACTGCGAGGCGGGAGAGGTTGAGACAGGCGGAGAGGGGCATGGGGAGGGCCCGTGGAAGGGGTGTCACTGCTCGCTTCACGCTCCAAGAGGCTGCAGCAGAGGCGGCGGGGCTGAGCCGCGGAGGAGACGGGGTTTGTAGCAGCCTCCGCATTTCTCCTTGCAGCCCCAGCGCCACCGCCCCTCGCCGGGCCGCGGCGCGCGTTAGGCCGCGCAAAGTGAGCGCGGGCGCCGGCCGGCTGCACCTCACCCGGGACCGGAGGGCAGGGCGCGGTGGGGCCGCGGCGGGGG